AAAGCACCATTTTTGTCGGGAACGCGTGGGAAGGGGGCCTGTGCTGGCTGATGCCCACCACCCCGGACGGGGGCTCGGTGCTCTGCCAACGCGCCGGGGGGGCGCCGCGCGCGGTGTGGATGGCCTCCGTCGAGCAGGAACGCGCCTGGGCCCTTTCCCTACCCCCCTCCGACACCGGGGAGGGGGAGCGGGGGGTGTTGTTCGACTTGCGTGCGGCCGCACGGGGGGCGGTTTCCGCCCTGCCGGGGGAGGAGGAGCCCGCACAATCGACGGGCGGCGTGGAGGGGGGTGGGGGAGTAGTGGGCGCCGCGTACGCCCACGGCGCCAGCCTCTACCAGGCCTCGACGCTCCTGCACATGGCAACCTTTCCATTCCAGCGCGGCATCAGCTGGCGGACGGAGTGCTTTCTGCGAGGCGAACGACAAATCGACGCGGAGAGTGGGTGCGGGGTGAAGGCAGATACGCCACACCTCTACACTCTAGTGTTGAGAAAAAATGCCGCCGGGCGGCAGGCGATAACGACGAGCGAGAGAGACTGCTGGTGGTGGGCTTGCTATGATGACCGGTGGCCGCGCTCGCCTGTGTGGTGGAAACGCGTGGAGGTGGGGCATGAAGGGGAATCAAGCGAGGGCGAAACAGGTTTAAAAAGAGAAGCCGGTGTCGAACCTACGCACGAGGCTGCCAAGGGATCCGAAGAATACGATGAAAAAAATCTTCAAGGGACCGTTCACAAGTCTGGAAAAGGAGTTAACTTTTCCCACGAGGCGCACCACTGCCTGGTGCAGGGAGCACCTTCAAGAGCGTTTATTGAGTCTTTAGGGTCAAATGGCTTTGCCTTTGCAACTTTATCTCATCACAAAGAGCACTACCACAATGGTAATGGGAAAATATGCGGTCGTGCACATGCACTGTCTTCTTTACTTGATCTTCACACAGTGCAAAAACATTATGATGGACAAGAGTGGGCCTATCATCATCCTTCCCTTATACCGTATGCATCTAATTTTATGGGGGATTCTTTCTCATCCACATGTGATACAATGAAGTCAAGGGTGGAGGGAGGCGTTTTGAAGTCGATGATTTATTTTGAAGGTGTCTTGAACCTTTTATACAGTTCTTAGAAGATAAAAACTAAACAAATGTTTCCTTTTATGACTTATTGGTTAAATTTTTCTATTCAAATTTAAAAAAAGAAAATAGCAACCCCACTCTAGTTTACTTTTTCTCTTATCCCCTTCATCTCTTCTCTCGAGAGAGGGGGAGGGGGGGGGAGAAAGATTGATGTTTCAAAACTTTCCTAAGGTTTTGTAGATGGTGGGATCACATTACTTCGTCCTATTACTCTATTGACGCTATGATTTTAAGTCTTGAAGAAAGGTTTTTTCCCCTTTTTTCCACAAAAAGGAAAATAAATGTCAACTAAATGTAAGACTCGGTTCTTATCCTTTATATCAATCTCTCTCTGATAAAGAACTTTATACATAGTTTTTTTTTACTTTAGAATGTTTCGCCGTTTAGCTGTGGTACCATTTTTTTCATGCATGCGTCGATCATGGTCTGGCTGTATAACACAACATCAGGCCCTGCACCACAGCCCTGCTCTGCTCTCTCCATCGGATGTCAGCAAAGATTTAGCCGATGATTTGTACAAAATTATCAACAACCATCGTGTCGTCCTCTTTATAACAGGCACACCAGAGGAGCCCCGCTGCCGTTTTACGGTGCGGCTTATCGATATTGTACACCAGATTGGTCTCGAGTACGTGTATTTTGACATACTACAAGATGACGAAGTCTGTGAGGGGTTGAAAACCTATAGTGACTGGCCAACCTATCCTCAGGTTTACATTGACGGAGTGCTTCTTGGTGGCTATGATGTAGTTAAGCAGATGATGCTAGACGGTAGTTTGGTCAAAACTTTAAGTGAAAAGAAGCTCCTATGATATCCATAGTCCCACAAAGAAAAAACGAAAGGGTAGAAAGTTTAAAGTGTCAAAACCTTAACCCTTTTTATTGTATTGATCCTCAAATAAATATAAAATTGGAGTACTAAACAGATGTTTTTTAAGACTGTCCTGGGTGGAAACATCTTACTGTTCATTTGAGTCATGACATTTTTTAAAGTAAGCTCATTACTTTAGTAGGCATCACATAATGAATACAACATTATTCGAAAGGTAAATTATGAAATAAACATTACTATAGCAGATTTTCTCCATTGCTCGTCAATTATTTAGTAGCGAAGTTTCGCATATTTAGTTTTTTTGCATTAAAGCCTCTAGACAGGGACAAATAACATAAAATAAACCCCAGTCTTCCCTCTACTGAGATATCATTGACAAAAAAACTGTACTATTGATGAAAGAGCAAGCCGGCGCGGAGTCCGCGATTGTACATCATCTTTGGGAAAGCTACTGCGGCACCCTACGCGATGCCAGTAGCACCTCCTCCAGCGGCTCTTCGACGCTGTTGGACTACACGGACCCGGTGGTGGACGAAATCTGGCAGCTTTTCTTTCCCATTCTCAACCAAATAAAACTGATCCCGGTGGGATCCCCGACGATGTCGGCCCCGCCCATCGCGTCCAACAAGCCCAACCCCTTCGAACCCGCGACTAACCACGACAACGATGCGAAGGATATAGCGATGCCCGGGGTCCTGCAGGGGAGTGAAGATCCCGATAGCAACTGCGGCTTTGACCTCGCCACCCATGTCTTTTATCTCGCCCTAGGGGGCTCCTCCGCGGATGACGGCGGCCCTCCCGCGCCTACACTATCGCGCGAGATGGCCTCACTCCTCTGCCAGCAGCCACACATCGTCCTTCCCCTGTTGGAGTTCTTTGTGGCGCTGATGGAGTACCGTCGTGGGAATAATCGGGCTAATGGCAATAACACAGTCACTGGTAGTCATCACTCGAATCCACTTCGCTCTACTGAGACAAAAAAAAAATGGCGTCATCATACGGCAGCGGGGAGTACCCACGAGAAAGGGAAGAAGAAGGAGGCAGCCCGACGGATACCCATCGGATGCGGGTGAGCTGCGGCGTGCTTGGCGACCCCACACAGCTCATCGCCTTCGACCAGCTCGGGGCCGCGCAGCTGGGGCGGCTTCTCACGCTGAAGGGTACCATCGTGCGCATGAGCCCGCCTCGCATCACCTGCATACGCATGACCTATCGTTGCGGCATCTGCGGTGCGATTCAAGAGGCCATGACGGAGGATGGCCTGCTCGTCTACCCGGGATCCTGCGGGGGGAAGACAAAATGCCGTGGCTACAAATGGATTCCCATCCCAGAGCGCGCCGTCTGCGAGGAAGTGCAGTTTTTAAAAGTTCAGGAGCACACCGACTTCTTTGACGACCAGCGCCAATCCGCCTCTACGGAATCAGAGGCGAAGGAGTCAACGAGTGGGGGAGCGTATAAGGTGGTGGAGGTGGAGCTTCGCCATCCATTATTGGATCTGACGACAGTAGGGGATACGGTCCGCGTGTGCGGGATCCTGCACACCTACCGAGGCGAGCTTCGCCGTGCGAACTCCTTGTGGTGTGGAATGCAGCACATATGCATTCGCGCGCGCTCGATTGAGGCAGCGAAGAATATGTGGTGGAAGACGGCCGGTTCTTCTGCCCATAACGCTTCGTTGTTGTCTTCCTCACTGCAATGGGGGGTGGAGACGGGTAGTTGGTGGTCGCCAGACGAGTGCGCCCGCCACTACGAGATGGCGCGCCATCCCCAGTGGTTCGCCCGCCTGACGGCATCGGTCGCCCCCTCCCTCTACGGCCTCCAGCGCGCGAAAGAAGCCATCCTGCTCGCGATTGTGGGGGGCTCGCCGAACAACAAAGTGGGCTGCCGGAGCGGAATCCACGTTCTGCTGCTCGGGGACCCTGGGATGGGGAAGTCACAGCTGCTTCGAGCCGCCTGCGCGATAGCGCCTCGGAGCGCTTTTGTCTGCGCTCACACCTCCTCTTCCTGCGGCCTGACGATGACGCTCGTGCGGGATCCGATGACAGGAGGAGCGACCTTCGAGGCAGGGGCCGTCGTCCACGGCGATGGCGGGGTGACCTGCATCGACGAAATCGACAAAACCTCATCAGAGCATAAGGCTCTGCTCGAAGTGATGGAACAGGAGAGCGTCAGCATCGCCAAGGCGGGGATGGTCTTCTCGATGCCTGTGCATACCTCCATACTCGCTGCTGGCAACCCCATTGGCGGGCGCTTTGATTTCACCAAGCCAATCATGGCGAACGTGAACCTCTCACCCGCGCTGTTAAGCCGTTTTGATTTGGTAGTATGTTTACAGGACCGACGGGAATCGAATGGTGGATCAGACGCCCAGACCAACAGAGTAGGAACCGCGATTCCCCCCCAGCATGCCAGGGACTGGGATAATGGTCTCTCCAACCATGTCCTTAATTTGCATCGCCGTGGTGGTAATGAAGGGAATGATAAAAAACAAGAAAAGGAACGAGGAAGCGAAAAAGGGGGGCGTGGTGTCTCTTCCAGCGCGTCTCCCCGATGTGGCGGAGTGGCGATGCTTCCACACAATTTAGCGCGGCAGTTCATCCTCTTCTGTCGCTCGCAATGCCAACCAACGCTCTCGCCTGGCGCCATGGCGGTCCTCAAGTCTCATTACCTCACCGAGCGAAGCGCGGCGACGGGAGAAGGAGAAGGAGGAGGAAGAAGTAATTCCTCACCATCAATGGTTGGGGGAAGCGGCCATCGCGAGGGGCTCATCACACCGCGCTACCTACAAGCTCTAGTGCGACTCGCCGAGGCCCGAGCGAAGGTGGAACTCCGCAGCGAAGTCAGTCGTGAAGACGCGGAGTACGCTGTGAACCTTGTGCAGGACTGCCTTCGCAGCTTCTCTGCAGTGGACTCAAGCTCGTCTGCGGCGTCGTCCTCCCCCCTGAGCAGTCTGTCTGGGGGGAAAAGAAAGAAGAGTACGCAACGTGAGGTGGTGATTGATCTGCTCAAAGAGGCGATCCTTCAAGGTGGTGGGGTGAATCGACTACTGTACAGCACAATTATCAAGGCCTGTGAAGAGGCAGGCTGCAGGGATGCGAATGCAATGCTGCACCAACTGAACGAATTTGGGGTATTGTTGAAAAGCGGGGATAAGTATATCCTCCGTGGAGTATGAGTCTAACAAAAAACATCACGAAGTACGTAAAAGGAATCGAATTTGTGAATAAATTATGTCACTTCGCATTCTTCCCTCTCATACTTGCTTTCTTATACGATATGTCATATTATTTTTGTTATTTTTTCTAAGGTAGTCCTTCATGGGGTATCTTTACCTTCTCTTAGTTTCTTTTTTCTCCTTCATACACCCATACACACGTTGGTACAAAACAAAGCGTGGAAAAATAAAAACTCTGCGGTGAATTTTTTATCTCTTCATAACTGAACGTATGCAGAGAAAGTCACTCGTGCTTTTGCGTCGAGGCAAGCCTCGCCCACGTGCAAGTATGTTTCCTGATAAGTACCGCCGCGTTCCAAATTTGCTGAAACCCCAACAAGGTGGGCAGCAATACTTCTCAGAGTTCCTCATTCGCACGGCGAACGACGAGGTTTTGCGCGGCGCATCGGATATCTCTGAGGAAGTGCGAAACTCCGGAATTCGCCAACGGCTACCGCAGCAGGACCTTGAGGCGAGCATTGAGCGCACGACGCGAGAGAGCATCGCGGAAGATATGAAGCAACTGATCGATCAGGATGGCTTCAACACGACACGTGGCTTTAACCAACTCCAATGGTACGAGCAGGAAGGCGAGCGGATGCAGCCAAAAGATCACACTCACATATTGCAGGATCAAGAGTTAAAGGGACCGTCCGAGGGTGCCCTGCCAGATCGCGTCCTTGGCGAGGATTATTTTAAGGATCGGTATGGTTACTCACTTGTGAAGGATAAATCCACCTCCAATGAGGTAGGTTTGTCCATCATAAATTACTCACAACTGGACTTGTGGGGCGAGATGCCGAAATATAATCGTGATATGGTTTTTCTGTATTTGGTTTCACGGCGGCGCAACACCTATGCGGTAGCCTACGACTACGACGGCAAGCGTCTTCTCACAACTTATACAGCGGGTAATCGAGGGCTTAAAGGCGGGGACCGCGGCTTTAGAGGAGACGGATCCACCGATAATGGGCATCAAGTAACCAGCATGTATCTAAACGACCTACTTCCTCGGATTCGTGAGAAACGCGCTGCCGATAACAACCCGATGAGGAAAAACGAAAAGATAGAGCTTGTCGTGCGCGTGATGGGCTTCTACAACGGTCGTCAGGGAGCGGTTCGCGCAGTGCAGGATCGCTCAGCAGACTATGTAGTTCGCTATATCGAAGATATCACACCATTTCCACTGAACGGACCCAAGATGCCGAAAGGTGTTTTCAAGTAGTATTTTCAGATACCTCTAAAACATGGATTTATTTTCCAACAAAATTCTGAGCAATTCCAAAATGTGCAAAATTAGCATCAAAAGGACTTGGCTGTGTTTGGAAATTTTCAGTATTATTATATTGATATCGGAGAGGTGTACAAAATGTAGAATGATAGAAACAGCTCAATATAATTTGGTAAACTTTAACTTCTTTTTAAGCAAGATAATGAATCTTTGAAATGCCTTTTAATTAAAGATATCAAAATATGCACACGTTCATATCTACACTGATTTGGCTCTATTTTTACCTTTTACTCTGTACTCTTCTTATAAAAAGATAATTAAACTATTTTCGAAACAAATTATTACGTCTGGTTCATTTTTATTTGCATTATTTATATTACGGTTGTTTTTTTTGATAGGACCGTGTGTTTGGGCATATTTTAAAACCAAAAAAAAGAGCTTTCAAAATTTTCCGAAAATCACTTTTTCAAATGTCCAAGGTCTTTGACCTGATCGTGCTAGGAGGTGGTTCTGGTGGGTTAGAAGCGGCGTGGAATGCCGCTACAGAGTACAAGAAAAAAGCGCTGGTGATCAACACACAGACCTATCACGGCCCACCGAACTTCTCAGCCCTTGGCGGCACGTGTGTGAACGTCGGTTGTGTTCCAAAAAAACTCATGGTGACGGGAGCTGGTTATAACGATCACATTCGAGAGGCCGCGGGGTTTGGCTGGAAAGTGGACAAGAACAGTCTCCAGCCTGACTGGAATACGCTAATTACCGAGAAAAACAAGGCCGTCAGGGACATCAACGAGAGCTACCTGGGGATGTTTAAAGACACCGAGCTGCTGAGCTTTCAGGAAGGCTTTGGCGTTCTAACAGACCCCCACACGGTAGTGGTGCACGAGACGCCCGACCTGAACAGCAAGGTGGTGGAGACCTACACTACCGAGTACATCCTCCTCGCGACGGGGTCTTGGCCGCAGAGGCTTGGCATCCCGGGCGATGACCTTTGCATCACGAGTAATGAGGCCTTTTACCTCCCGGAAGCTCCTAAACGGGTGCTTTGCATCGGCGGAGGCTACATCTCACTCGAATTCGCCGGCATCTTTAACGGGTACAAGCCAAAGAATGGGAAGGTGACGGTGTGCTACCGAGGTGAGTACATCCTCCGAGGCTTCGACATGACGCTTCGGAAGGCTCTGATGGCGCAGATGGAGGCCAACGGAATTGAGATCCTTACCAAGGAGAACCCCGCGCGGATCACCCTCAATGAAGACGGCTCCAAACATGTCGTGTTCGAGAGTGGCAAGGAGGCAGACTATGACGTGGTCTTTCAGGCCATTGGGCGCCGACCGATGACGGGCTCACTGAAGTTGGAGGATGTCGGTGTGAAGCTCACGAAGAACGGTGCGGTGCAGGTGGACAAGCATTCCAAGACAAATCTTGATAACATCTATGCAGTCGGAGACGTAACGGACCGGATTATGCTCACCCCAGTTGCGATAAAAGAGTCTTTTATGGTAATCAACACCATTTTTGGTGGAAGCTGTAATATTGTGGACCATTCAAATGTCGCCTGTGCGGTCTTTTCAATCCCACCCATCGGCAGCTGTGGCCTTATTGAGGAAAATGCGGCAGAGAAGTTCTCAACAGTGGCCGTGTACGAATCTCAATTCACCCCTCTCATGCACAAAATCAGTGGGTCAACCTACAAACAGTTTATTGCACGTATCGTTACAAACCACGAAACCGGACTTGTCCTAGGGGTGCATCTACTCGGAGAAGGTAGCCCGGAGATTATCCAGGTTGTCGGGATTTGTATAAAAATGAGGGCCAAGATCAACGATTTTTTCAACACAATCTGCGTACATCCAACCAGTGCTGAGGAATTGTGCTCAATGCGTACCCCATCTTATTTCTACGTTAATGGTAAGCGTGTGGAGAATTTGGAAAGCAACTTGTAAACTAATTTAATCGACAGAAGACATAAAAAATGCAAATACAGAAGGGACTAACATTCAATATAATTATATTAAAAATATATTTAAAAGGTGAAAATTAGAAAACCATTGAAAAAAGGTATATATGAAAAAGGTGATGTGGATTATGCATTGTACATAAATGAAACATTGTACTAATAATTTTGAATCAATTACGAAATTTCAATATTTTATGGGAACAATGGGGTTAAGCAAGAGCAATGCATCAAAACATGTTATTAAAACAATTAGCATAAATTATAGATACACATATTTTCAATTGTTGAATGATCTGGTGATATTATTTAAATATTTTAGGTTGCATCAAATAAACTGGCAAGATGATATTATTGTTTATAGTTTGACTTTATGCTTTTCTCAAGAATTGATGGAGTTTTTTTCCTTTTTTACTCCCCCCTGTGATATTTGGCTGCTACATATGGCTAAAATATTATTATTATCTCTTTTTTTTTACATGAGATCTATATAGTATTGATGCATCTATCTTTCAAAATAGTCATTAAAAAAAAAAAGCAAGCATTTATTAATTTACACGTTTATAGTGTGCAACACCTATAGATAGGTGTTCAATCTAGTAAACATCGTCGCGGTAAATGAGTAACTTTGAAAAACTTGGTATTCATACATGGCTTGCTAAGCAGTGTACCTACATGGCTCTCAACGAGCCTACACACATCCAACGGAGTTGCATAGCACCCATTCTATCTGGTAAGCACGTAGTTGGTGGTGCGGCTACAGGTAGCGGTAAGACTGCCGCCTTCTCCTTGCCGATACTTCAAATTCTCTCAGAGGATGTCTACGGTGTGTTTGCACTCGTTTTAACGCCATCTCGTGAGTTGGCCTATCAAATCGCCGATCATTTCATTGCCCTCGGGGCACCCTTGCGTGTGCGCGTAATGTTGGCAATTGGCGGCGTGCATCATGACGACCAGCTCGATGCCATCAAATCCCGCCCGCATATAGTGGTCGCAACACCAGGGAGGCTTCGGCATTTGCTAAGCACTTTCTCTGTTGAAACCACAAAAGCCTTTACACATCTGAGGTTCCTCGTTTTAGATGAAGCGGATAGGTTGACGGAAGGTGACATATACAGAGACGTTCGGTATCTTTTACGTCTCTTGTTACCACACTCAACTCAGCGACAAGTGCTCATGTTTTCAGCAACAATGCAACCTCGATTGACCTCCCTTCCATTTGAAACGTCAAAATATGATAGAACTGATGTTTTGCACAGGAATCTTGAAGCTGAAGAAGATACTGATAGTGATACGAATTTATTATCTTTGCTTGGTATTCATTCAAAGGAACAATTTGAGGTGCATATGTGCAGCTCTCCCGAGCATACTCTTGAAAAAGAACTAGGTAACAATGCGCAAGCAGATTCAATGACCCCCAAAGCTTTCGAAAAGCTTAGTGCACATATCGACATCACAAACGGACAGGATGCCAAATCTGGCCTATCCGGATCTTCCCACCTCACACAGCAAGCTTTTCCTGAAAAACTCCAGCAAGCCTACCTTTTCGTCCCAAATGCCGTCAAATTGTCATATCTAGTGGCAGCACTGCGGGCGCAAGGGAAGGATCAGTGTACACTTGTTTTTGCCAATTCCTGTCTTCGAGCTGAGTTAGTCCGCCTGGTCCTCCAGCTGCTCGGTTTTCCCGTTTGCAGCTTAAACTCTCTGCTCACACAGAAACACCGTCTTGATAGTTTAGCGCTATTTAAGCTTCGCATTGCGCGTATTATGGTGGCCACAGACATTGCTGCACGCGGACTGGATATCCCAAATGTTGATTTGGTGATCCACTACGACATCCCAAAACACTCACCGACATATGTGCATCGTGTCGGTCGGACAGCCCGTGCGGGGTGTACGGGCACCTCCGTTTCCATAATCACCGAGAACGATATCGAGCTTGTCCGACGAATTGAAAGGGACCTGAAAATAAAGTTGGCGTTGTGGAAAGAAAAGGCAATGAGGAAAGAAGACAAGGTTTTGTCAATTCTAGACGAGGTTTCTAACGCAAAAATACAAGCCAAACAACAGGTCATGGAACAGTTCGGTTCACGTGTGATGACGTTAAAAGAGCAGGCTGCTGAAAAGCGAGCCTTTACACAGCAAAGGGCCTTGCAAAAGTCTCAAAAACAGCAGGGAACGCGAAAACCTGATGAAGTCAGTGAAAATTCTACCTTGTCTCGGCCCAAGAAAAAGGTGATGACAGAAGATCGAAGAAAATTGCGCGTACCATCACAAATAAAAATCCACAAGGACAAAGAAACCATCCAGCAGCGCAAACAGATCAGCGAAGATAATAAAAAAAGGAAGAGAAGCTCTCATGACAACCAAAGAGCCTCAGATACCAACGATTCCTCTACAATCAGTGAGATGCTTATTAATAGCACCACCAATGAGGCAGCACCAAAGAGTGCAGGTAAACGAACACAATCAGCACTTGATAAGGGAAGAAAGAAAAAACTCTCACGATGCGAACGTACACCCATAGGCAAGTCAAATATAAAAAAGAAGTGTATAAAATCTTAAACGCATATATATGGGTTAGCAATCCAAAGTACTTTGGCGGTTAAATCTATCCGAAACGTTAATTAATAACAAGGACATGCAGAGGCAAATTTGTGATCAAATTGATATTAATATATAAATTATTAACAGTGTGGTAAATGTAATTGGATAGTCCTGGAAACCTACTGCGTGCTTTCTCAATTAAGATTATTCTATCCTTTATTGTTTATTGGTATTAATTCTTTTTTCTCCTTTTGATGTATTCATTCTGTAAAGGGTGATATTTATTGGTGTTGCTGCCAAATTTCTATTCACAAAAACTTGACAACTCAAAGTAGAGAAAACAAAGCAGAGTAACAGAAAGAAATAGTACTAAAAATGAATCTAAACAGCCGCAACTTACCCGTATTTGACAACCACTACGGGCATGAAACGCTTATTGGGAATTGGAAAGATAAGCGCGACCTAATATCCATGCAAGTGGCGATTAAAGATGCTGCGGAATCCAACAGCCGTTGCACTTCTACCAATCGGTATGCCACACCTGCAGTCGAGCATGGCCCTGAGCAAGTGAAATTCTCCTCTGGTCCTTCCCGTCCCGCGAAACCGCTTTCCGCAATGACCCTCATTATGGCCAATGCGACGAGCCCCGTAGAGTTGAGCAATAAAATATGCCAGTGGGCGCATGCCGGGAGCTCAACATATAAAACTGACTTCACACACACACACACTGAGGACGTGAATGGCAGGGGCCGTCCGAATAGCATCCCCGCGCATCCCCTAAAAAGTCTGAACCGCGAGTTGCTTTTGGGAGCTGACGCCGGGACTGTTGCGGTTTTTGAAGGGCAGCCCACCAACACCGAGTATGGGCTACACCTCTCCAACCCACTGAAGGAGTTGGAATCGGCCCAGGAGGCGACAAATATCGAGGCCGCCATAGTAAGCCTTCAGCACACACACCTATGCGCTCCGCGTGCGAAAACCCTGTACGATACTTATCAGCAGCTACAAGAAAAGGAAACATCAAGATCTAGAGGTACCGCCCGCCCTCACAGAACTAAAGAAGTAGGCGGAGCTGATAATTTATCACCTCTCTACCTTATAGACGTTGTCCATCCTCTGACAGCATTCACTGATAAAGAGCAAGTCGGTAAGGTGCCCAACATCTCAGCATCGAAGACGAGCGGCCCCGACAGCGTCGGAGCCTCGAATGGCTCAAAAGAAACTTGTAACTCTGAGATTTCAATGAGTAAAAAATGTCATGAAGGGTCCATGCTAACAACAAAGCGCATATCCAATTATGGAAACACTGCAACAAATCAAAGTATATGCTTTATAACAACAAAAATGTCCTCCGACAAAATCGTGGAAGACAGCTATTTTCAACGATCACTACCACCGCCTAGCTTCCCATTATAGAAATATATAAACATATAAAAATCAATATGTATTTCTAAAAAGTGATGCAGCTAATCCACGTGTGCCTCAAATATTGACTTGTTTTTGCTTTCTACTTTTTTTTTAATGGTTATAATAAAAGTGAATTATTGTATAGTTTGACTGTACAATATACACTAAATTATGCTTTGAATGGACACATCAAAATGTAAATATGATAAATATATATATGATTAAACAAAAATATCAAATAATGTCATTGTATGAAAAATTGATAAATTATCTCTAGTTTACTTTAAATGCATTTCCTTTTTTTTCCAAAACCTAAATTTAAAGCTTTTTAGATATTTTTTTATTATAAATTTTGAAAGGACCTATTGGTGAAATTATTATCATTTAAATTGGATTTCTAAAAATTTATACACAAAAAGAGGGAATAACAGAACTACCAAAATTGTGTAGCATAGTTTGAAAGGTCTTTTTTTACACTTTGACTTTTGAAAGGAAGATAATAGGCATTTATAGTATATATATTCGTGTTTTTTGCGTCAAATTTCAAAGGGTCTTTAACCTATAGAAAAAAAAGGCACATTGCAAATTTTGTACATATTTATATAATAAATTTCTAAAATTTTCAAAGGAAGGTGAAAATACAGAATAATAAAAAAATAAAAGGATTAAAACAATTTTCAGCGAAGACAAATATTGAGGAAAATATGCCAGAAGAAGTCGGTAAAAACGAAGGCCAAGCCTTGGAAATATACCCTGAAAAAGAAAAAAAAACACAAATTCAAACAATGAAATGCCCCAAAATACCGAAAACCACATGCTCAATAAGAAAGAAAATGAGGAAAAAGGCATAAACGACATGAGCATGAAAGGGTTAAAAGCTAAAAAAATCCTGACAATACCAGAAAATGAAAACTCTGTAAATGAGACCTCAAAAAATATCAATGCATGCAAAACCACATACCGAGATCACTACAAGAAGTACGACCATGACGCCTACGCTCACACAA